TTCACCACTTGACAGGGTTCAGATTTTCCTTGAATAAAGAACATAATCTTGCGTATATGCATTCGAAATGGGAACTTGCGTATTATTACTAACTAGTGTTCAGGACACTTAATAAAATAATCATTTCATTTTCTTTGTGTCTTTTCTGTTTAAAGCCCATCATTCTTTTTCTTTAATTGTGAAAAGCAATATGATAGGACCATGACCATCTTGAAATTGACTGCATTGGTGACCTTCAATAATAATTTGGGACAACCATCAATCTTAAGATTACAAAAGGGAGAATTCAGTTAGAAATAGTGCTTAATTTGGTCCCTTATAATATGTGGGCAAAGTGGTAGAGTTGTTATCCATTTGCACTAAGCAAAGTTAAATTTAATTGTCAATGGGTTAATGTGCCGGGGGTGAAGAGACCAGCCATGCCTCAGAAGAGGACAAGTTGTGGAGAAAGCTGTGGAACCTACCTTTGAAACACAAAGTTAAACACTTTGAAACACAAACAGCGTCCCAGTGAATGAACTCATACACGAGGACAAACAAAAAAAATCCTCTGTTGTGGCGAAGAGATTGAGTTTGTGGAGCATATGTTATTATTAGGTTAATAAACAAAGAATTGTGTCCAACATTGATTGAGAAAGAGTGATTAATATGTAAGTAAGGATGTGAAATCTAATAAATTTTTGGGTCAATGTTTGGACTCTTTAGTGGATTTTCTCCAAGTGTTTCTCCCCAACAAGTGGTATTAGAATGGGATTCAAGGTTGAATCCTAGTTGACTACTGAGATCATGTGAGTTGGAGGCTGTTACCAGATCATGTATGTTGGGCGCTGTTACCAATTCAACAATTTAATACTTTGCATCCTTGTTTCAAGGATTGACAAAAAGTATTAAAGGTGATGGATGGCAAGTCAAAAAGTATGGAAATATTTGGCGTAAGAATGGAAAACTGGAAAGCATGGAGATACTTAACTGTGCAAATCTAGACACATGATTCAAAAGTCAAGAAAAAGATGGAGTCCAATTTTAATTTTGGACATAAATCGCTGAAGACTTTCTCACAATTCCAGTGATTGATATTTCATCCTGGTAGTTGTTAGATTCAGATTATAATTTTTGGATGGTGTGGAATGCGTCCCAACAAAACATAGGGATCCAATTTTCAAGCGCGAGACAACTCTGACGACTATGAGTTTTTCGTTGTTGGTGGAGTTTTGAAAATCACACATGGCAAAATAAATATGAGGATAAAAAGAAATATGGTGATTTTACTACTTGATTGCCTCAATCGTTAGAAGTAGAGCCAATCGAAAGGGATCTTGAATTGCAAAGTAATGGTAAGAAGAAATCCTGTAAAGAAAAACGATGAATTGAGGCACATTCTCGCGAGTCAACTAAAAGTTGGACTCGAATTAATTACACATGTTCATTTGCTAATTGAATCAACTTGGTATCCTGAGTAAAAAATTATATCCCAATTGAATTAACTACACATGTTATTTTTGGGTTCTTGAGTAAAAAATTATATCCTATATTGGTTCGAGAGATAAAGAAAGACCGGTTAATATATAAGTAAGGATCCAAAACCTAACAGTTTAACTTTTTGGTGTCAAAGTTGAGTTTCTGACTTACATATTAGAATTTTTTGGTAGACTCTATCGAGATGTTTCTCTCCAAAGTTATTCTTTCCAATGGGATGGTTGAGGAATAATGGATGAAACTTCATCAGATGGTGGGAAGGATTCTTTCCAATACATTGGGTGGATGGAGGAACGATAGATGCAATTTCATCATATGGCAGGAAGGATTTTTAGAAGCTAATACCATGGTCAAAGGTGAGCATCATACAGCTCTAACTGCAAACATTCTTTGCCAAATCTAGAAATCCAGAAATCCAGAAACAGTAAAATGCTCACTGATAAAATGTACAGATAGCAGATTGATTGTACAAAAAGCTCATCATGAATGGTTGAGTTCATCGAAGCCCAAGATGACACTGAAAGGATGCACACTTCTGAAAGTCTGAAACATCTCAAAACTCAAGATTGTTGGAAATAGAAGCCACCGATGGGAGGAGTGATCATGATCAACACAGGTGCAGCAATTTCTTCCCAAAATGATAAGGACTGGTGTGGCTGGTGTAGTTCGGGACTGGAATGGAAAAATAATCAAAGCCTGGGGATGGCTGGAAGATAGAAGACGTGAACCATATATGGAAGAAGCTTCAGCCATCGGAATGGCTCTAATTATGGCCAAAGAAGCAAAATGGAGGAGATTGTAATTTGTAAAGCTGCAATTGACAAGATTCAAGCTGGAAAGGTGGAGGACTCCACCATTGCAACCATCCTTCAACATATACAAGCAATGAGAGAGATGTTTGAACACTGTACTTTCTCTTTTATTTACAATTTGCTGTGAAGCTTGTTAGGAATATAATGTAGGAGAATTCTTTCCCATGTGGCTCGAGAAGAGTGCACAAGATGATATTGGAGCAGTTGCCCTTATTTTGTAATGTTAATCTTGTGTTTTCAAGTTATTAATATAATGGTTATTTTTTTTTTTGTCAAAAAAAAAGATCTGGAGCCAAGTTTAATTGCAATTGCCCCGGAAACAATTGATTGCTCAGAGGGCGCTCAGCTCATGGGGCCCACAATTTGTGTTCCGGCTGTGAATGCATTTACTATATTGACCCGTGTACTTGTTCAGCTTTATACTTTTAATGTCATTAACTGTTGCTAGAGATGGGTTTTTGGTCTTTTACTGTTATAAGACGTGTAATTGGAACTTCAACTTGTTCTACCAGAAAGTAAACGGGCTAATCTTAAGGGTCACATAATTTCAATTTTACAACTTAAAAGTTCAAAATTTGCATCGATTTTAGTTTAACAAAAAAATCAATTTTTATAAGAATAGAAGCAAAACAATACTAAGAATTAGCTGTTTTAGGGGGTATTTTTGAAAAATTTTACTGTAACAGAATTTTTAGAGTATATTTTGGGATATTTTTAGAAAATATTTTGAAATATTTAAGAGTAGTAAAGTTTTTAAAATATATTTTAGAATTTTTTTAAACATTAAAAAAATTTAGACTATTTTTTAGAGTACCTTTTAGAGTACTTTTTAAAAATTTTTATATAGTATTTGAAAAACTGGTTTTTAAAAAATTGAAGGATCCAAACAAAGCCAAAGTTTGCAAACAAATATATGAAAGGTTCAGATTTTCCCAGATATTTACGTATCTAGTCATTAACTTAGTAAATTTGTTCGAAATCTCCCACTTACGCTTAAAAAAAAAACTTAATAAGTTTGAGATAATATACAAAACCACTGAATTGCCTAGTAAACTAAAATAAAACACTTATCCTAAAGTTCTAGGTATGTAGTATGAGTATATTACAATATACTAGATATATAATTAGTATCTTCAAATTAGATATATACAACATAACTGATACTCAAAGGTAATGAATAAACTATTGAGAAAATTACACTATTAAATTACGTGCACGAGTGTTGCTATTTAGCTGCTTTAACTTTCTATTTTTTTATTTCTTTAAGAGTTATGATTTACTCTAATTTAAGTTTAGTTTAGTGAAAGAGGAAACCAAAAATCATTTACTAGTTATCTTCTCTTATTTGATATCTTTTTTTAAGCAACATTGAATCTTTATTGATTAGCAACAAAAGTATATACAATCGAATGCACTCATTCCAACCACGTTCACAGGTAGCACTATTACTATTACACAAATATTTACACCTGATCTTCTTAGAATGGTAGAAGAAGATAAGAGGTGAAAATTGACGGTTAGAGTGTAAATTCTTATTTTGTTATATAAAACTCGTCAATTCTCCAAAAATATATATATATTTACACCTCAACATCAGTCTGCCAGAATACGCATCTGTTGAGAAGCACATACATGTTTGGATTGTAATTTTTCACAGAAAAATTTTTATATTTTTTGTGAACATATTTTTCAATTATTTTTTTAACTCACATATATCAAATCACTACAATACAATCTTTTTTTAAAAAATTCTTAAAAATAACAATTCAAATGGGCCTAAGCTAGCCCAGCTCCATAGTCAGGTCCCAGTTTTGCTTTGTTAAAGGTATTCATCTACAGCTACATTGTCCCCTTGGTTCTAGACTTCTAGTCACTGCCATGGCTGATTTAATTTAACAGTGAAGACACCAGAGGCACGTGCAGTCCAGTATACATCATCCTTGCTGCCCGGATTAGGAAGAAATGAGGCAGGTGTCTTCTGTATTAGCATTCTCCTTCAGCAGTTTCCCTTCTTCGTTAAGGCCATCTTCCAAGCATCACCCTGTATGCAGCTAGCAGCTTTTGCAGATATCCCGACTCCAAAGCTATTCCATAGATTCTCAGAGAAATGTTGAACAAGAGGTCCAATGGGATGCCAGTTATCGTACCAAAAGCTGCTACTATCCTCACTATCACCGATCAGATGCTTAAAGTAGAGGTGAACTTCAGGTCTCACCAGTCAGATTCTCCTCCAAGACCAAAGAGCAGTCAATCATTAAGATTCTCTTTGTCTGGTAACAGTGGGGCAGCGTGAATGTTTTTTGAAATGAGTAACGACGAATAATAAAAATTACAAATTTTTCCAAAAGGTTTGTAAGATTTTTTGGTGGCCAGTGAGGGCACTGGCAGTGGAAATCCTCCATTGGTTCTTTGAAATTAATAGAAGAATGACAATTCGAGTCTCTCATAGGCCTGTTGACGATCCGAGCTGCTCGCGAGCCGCTCGCGAGCAGCTCGGGTCAAAGCTCGGCTCGAGCTCGTGTTGACCGAACTCGAGCCGAGTTCGAGCCGCTAGTTAATATAAATGAGCCGAGCACGAGCCTTTATTTCATAGGCTCGATAGCTCGACGAGCCGCTCGATAGGCTCGAATAATTGTGAAATTATAAAAATACCCCTATATTAATTAAAATTTACAAGTTTATGACTATTTCTCATTTTCTCCATCCATTTACCTAATTCCCAAATCCTCACTTCCTCTGCCGACTCCTGCCGATTCCCAACTCCCAAACTCCAAATTCCCACTTCCGCCGGCTCCATCTCCACCAGCTCCACCCAGCTTTTGCAGGTATGTACTCAGCTTCTCTTTCTTTTCCTTTTCCGTTTTCTTTCTTTCCCAGCTTGGCAGCCCCCTCCTTTCAAAGCTTTAGATCTATGGATAATAGCTTTCTTTCTTTCTTCCCCTGCTCGGTAGATCCATCATTTCAAAGCTTTATCATTCAAAGCTTTAGATCTATTGCAAAAGAGGTAGTTGTGGACCCCGTGATGTTCTTTTTTTTTTCTTCTACGGTGGTCCAACTTAGGGGCTTGAAGCAGATACATTGACTGGGGAACCCATCTTGAGGCTGATATTGATGGAAATGGAGTTCTGGACTATGGAGAGTTTGTAGCAGTGACGATACACTTGCAGAGGATGGAGAATGATGAGCACTTTCGTAGAGCGTTCATGTTTTTTTGACAAAGACGGATTTTTAGCTAATTTGGATATGGCAATTTTTGGTTGTTGTTTGGCCCCTTTTTATGGCTTATTTTTAGCTGTGTTTAAAGCTATATTTTTGCTGATTTTTTGTGCTCAATTTCTCAATTAGCAGGCTGATTTTTTGACTTTTTTTGGCTGCTGTTTTTCTTTCTTTCTTTTTTTTCTTTTTGGATAGCTCATTTGCTGGTTTCTTTTGCTTCTTAATGTAATTAGAGTTGAAGAGCATAATTACAGCTTGGCTTGACGATGAATTGCTGAAGACACAATTTATATTTGAAATTTATTGGTAACTAAAAATTTCAAATGTTGAACATTTAGATTTTTATATATTATATGTTTAAGATTATATTAGTGGATAATTTGTACCTCTCAAATCAAGATTATGTGAAAATTGCTGTTATTATTCTTAAATTTTACCAAAAATATGCAGACAAAAATTCTATTTTTTTGCCTAAATTTCGAGAAAGTCAGCTGATTTCGAGCTCATCACGAGCCGAAAAATCGAGCAAAATTTGAGCTAATGTGGCGAGCTGCTTGCGAGCCAAAATCGAGCTAAGCTCGCGAGCTATAATCGAGTCGATCTCGAGTGTCCCTTTGTCTATATCGAGTCGAGCTCGAGCTTCATTTTTCGAGCTCGACGAACTCGAGCTCGAACTCGAGCTCGCATATAAATAAGCCTAACTCGACTCGATAAGTCCAAAACTCGACTCGACTCGGCTCGTTTGCACCCCTAGTCTCTCATCTCTTTCGTGGACGGTGGACCCCTTTTGCCTGCCTACTAGACTTACTTTTAACCATTTAATCCATCTAATCTTAGGACTAATAATGTTTCTTACATGCTACATAATGAGTTTCAAATGCTTACAACATTTTAAATTAAAATAAAAAAGAATTTAAATGCGAATAGATGTTATGCATTGTGCATCCAAATCATGTAAAATATTACACTAGGAAAAAATAAATCCCTAATCTTTTTATCCCAATTAGTTGAGAAATTGGCCAGCCAAAATCCTTAGCCTTTTCTTTTTACTAATTTTTTTATTTAATCAATTTGATGTTGATTTCTATGCAACACTTATAACTAGTTTGGAAGCTGTGATTTTTATTTAAAAAAAAAAAAAAGAGGGAGATAGAGAAAAGAAAGTGACAAAAAAAGACATGTTTTAGTTGTTTAGGGGTTTTTGAAGGGAAGAAAATAATGAAAATCATAGCATTTGGATGGATGGGCTGGTGGAAGGACCTGCTCTCAAGTTTTAATAATTAGACTTACCTCCCCAATTTTAACCTTTTAGGTAACAAAATAGACCCAATAATAGAACATCAGAAATTTTTCCCTTTGATTATCCTAAATTACCTCCTTGTGATTTAATTTATATTTTTTTCACCATTAATTTCTTCCCTTTCTAAACAGAACCAAAGAAAACTATCCCTCACTATTGGCTTATGTCTTCCTCTCTTTAACAACTTTAAATTCCCAAAAAACTAAATACTTGATACTCTACCAAAGCCCTCTCTAGTGATTTGCTTCCTCAAAGAAATCAGTCCAAATAAACAAGCACAAATACTATACCTTTGAAACAATGAACCCAAACAAAAGCATACAAACATACATAAACTATCCACACCCAACCTTCATCGAAGCAAAACACGTAGACCAATAGATGAGCAACCTGGAATAAAAGAGGCAAAAAAAATGCTAGAATCAAACCCAATTACAGTATTGATTTACAACTAAGACCAATTTTCCACAGATGCCGCAAATTGAAATTTGTTCCTTTATCAGCAAAAAAGAAATTAAGATGGAAAAGTGGAAACTCTTAAGCGGGTGTTGGGAGGAGGTTTGGTTGGGCCAAAGAAAGGGAAAAAAGGTTGTATTTGGGAACTAATTACTTAGTTATATAGTGATTCAGAGATGGAGTCGGTGATGGTTTTGATATTGTTGTTGGTGATGGTGGTGATAATCTAAGAGAAAGGAGATGAGACCTTTGAAAAATGCTATGCAAAGACATAGAATTTAAGGATTTCAGATAGAATCATGCATTATATGGAAAAGAAGAAAAACTGAAAAAGTTGAAATAGATATTGGTCTTCATGGTAGTGGTTTGCCAAAAAAGAGGTAACGGCATTGAGGCTATTGTACGATAGAACAAACCCCTTATAACCCACTTGAATGAAGGAAATTATTGTCATTTTACATGATAAAGGGAGGTAAGTGTAATTATGAGAAATTGGGGGTCCTTGCCATTAGGCTAAACCTCAAGGGAGGTATGTGAAATTATCCCTTTTCTTTTCTATCATAAACTCCCAAACCAGCTATTAAGTGCTCGAATTGAGAATGAACCGCGAAAGTGTCCTTCAAAAAAAGAAAAAAACCGCAAAAGTGCTAAATCTTAATTCAAAATCCATTCACACAACAAGTAAATAGTGACTTTGCTTTTATTTTCACAAAAGCAAAGTAAGGAAGCTACAGGAAGATCCCCAAATTCCTTGAGCTTTTTTGTGCGAATCCGGGACAAGAGGCAGGGGAGTAGAAAACTAGAATCAAGAAGTCTGTGATTTCAAGGAATTCAGCGAGGAGGAAGAGGAGAAATGAGGAGAGTATCTGAAACTGAACCCATCAGGCCAAACCTCCCGCCTTCTCTTCCAGATACTGATACTTCTCTGTTGCTGGAAAAAGCCAGAAATTTGCTCCGAGGAGGCAATGGAGAATCTTCATCCTCCTCTTCTTGCTCAGTTAACTCTCCTTATTCGGTAAGACTGATGGATTGCGTTTCTTCACTTATTTTTTTTTTGGGTGATCCGGAACATACTCTAACTTTAGCCACTTAGAACCTGAGTCGACACATCAAACCGGGCGATACGCCGCGACCCCCCACAACGCACTCAGATTAGATAGGAGGGTTTAAATCTAGAAAAAGATTCAAACCTAAGACCTTATTCAGTCCAAGAGCCCGCTTTACTGCTAAACTTCACTTATTAGTACTACTCTATATAAGTGATTTCTTCACTTATTAGTACTACTCTACCTTACTATATTTATTGCTCATATAAACATCTTGCTTTTCAAAACTGTTATGGTCAGAATTTTTTTTGGCTAATTTATTTGTATGCATTGGTAACCATATCTATCTACATTGGTAATTATATATATATATATATATGTGTGTGTGTACTTTCCCACCTATGATGATTCTAATTTTTTGCTTTAGAATCTTCTTTTGCAGGCTTAGGATAGAGAGATTTGGCTTCTCTCTGTTATCCATTTAGTTTTGTATTTATTTTTGACTATAGACAGCAGTAATTAGCTCTGTTTTCAAACTCGGACCGGACCGGCCGGTCGAACCGGTCGAACCGGGAACCGGCCAGGTAGCCGGTCCGAGTCACATTAAAAAACCGGAAAATTAAAACCCGGTCAAAGTCGGTCAAAAACCGGGTTTGACCGGAAAAAACCGGTTTTTCCGGTTCAACAGTAATTTTTTTTAAAAAAATTCAAACTTTTTAATATTATGTTTTGACCCCCTAAATTGTTAAAACTTATTGATATACCTCAAATATTTGATACTTTATAAATATTGTCCTAAAATTTGATGTTATTTTTCAATTAAATTCATAATTTTAATTCTAAACTTGTTAATATTTATTAAATAATATAAATTGCTACTTGATTGTTCTAATTTCTTTGTATTTTCTTGTTAAATATATTTGAAACATCAAATATATATGGATATACCTTTATTAATATCAATATATTATTAGATATTATATATATAATGTTTTAATTTTTAAATAATTTTTATTTATGACGTCATCCGGTTCGACCCCTATCGACCCCCGGTCGAACCCATTGACCCCTGACCCCTGACCTCGGCCGAGTCGCTATCCGGTCCGGTTCTGAAAACATAGGTAATTAGTAGTATTGATATCAAGGTGAGAGACAAAAAAAAAAAAAAAAGAATACATTATCCAAATGTAAAAAAAAAAAATGGTTAAGCTATAAGCCATTATACTAGTGTTTTTTTTTTTCATTGTACTAGCATGTTACTTTCCATAAAGAGCACTTGCTCTTTTAAGCGAACCTCTTCAATCACTCTAGATGCATAGACGGAATTAGAATTTTACTTTAAGAGGCGAATCATCAAACATTTGTTGGTGAAAAAATCATAGTAAATTATAAGTTTTGGGGTGGTTAATCCTTTAAACCACAATGATAGAGTTTAGGGGAGAGTCTATGATTGACAGCACATTGATCGAGTTTGACGAAGTTTGACTCGTTTATTTATCGAGCGCCAAACTCAAGCGAGTTTTTTTTTTAAGAAATAAAAAATTTATTATGGTATTTGAAAATCAATCATTAGAATAGGCTGTACAAATGAAGGAGCATAATCTAGTTTGAGCACTTTAAATTTTTTGCATACAAACTGCAAGTTTTGTGCTAATCTAGCCAAATTTGAAATTATACTGAAAACAAAATACTGTTCGTATTTAGTTTGATTAGTTAGTTAACCAAATCAAATGAACTCTTATATGTCCAAACTCGATTAGAATATTGAGTAGCTTGATTCATCTTACAACTCTTAATTCAAGTCAATATAGTATAAATATCTTGTAATTGCAGTTACATTTCCTTTAGTGTATCTTCGTTTCTTTTGTGTAATTTCCTTAATCAATGTGTTATACTAATCGTATGTAGATTAGAAATTACTTTGTTATATGAAATGTTCCGTCTATTGGTCCGTGTTTGATGTCTTTATCAAATGTGGGATTAAACTAATACGGTACCCCACTATCCCATTTTACTTGTCAAGGTCAATTTAATTCATAATGTACGGAACTTAATCTTTGACCAAATAACGAATAACTCTTTTCATAATTATTCCTTAATTTAAATTCAAAATTTGTTTGTTGCTTTTGAATTTTTAAATTTTATAATAGTTTGTTAAAGCATTTAATGCTAAATACATGACTTTAATGCTTGAAAATTGAAGGAAGGATAAAAAGGAAAGATTGGTCTCTTTTCATTTTTTTTTAGATGATACCAAATAACTTAGGACAAAGAAAAATAGAAATCAAGATTAATAAAATGGGACGAAAAAATAATATAGTAATCTGCCATAGTGGGACAAGAAGAGCTTGCTTCTCGTTTTTACTGTTTTCCGATTCCTTCCATGCACCACGCGTCCTCATTGTGTAGGTCTAACCCATGATTTTAAACTTGGATTGGATCGACCAATCCGATTGGTGGAATCAAGAATCGATCAAGTGTTCGGTTCGAGTTATTTTAAAAATTCGAGTTGGTAGAGACTCGGTCAAATTGGTCAAAAACTTGATTTGATAAAAAATCAGGAGTACCGATAAAAATTGGATTTTCTTATTTTCCTTTTCGTCGAATTTTTTTCCTTTCTTACCTCTAACTCTGAGTCCGTTTGAGCTCCCCCCTCCTTTGCAAATTCATTTTCACTCTTCCATTTCAATTCAGCCATCAAAATCAATGCTGTAGCCTTTTCTTAAACAAGATCAAGGATGTATTCAAAAGGAGAAAAGACCCAAAAAAATGCAAAAAAGAGAGATGAAGAAGAGAAAATTTTAAAGAAAACAGATAAAAGCTTGATATTTTGTGAGATTGAGAATAAATAACTAACAAAATAAGAATGAAAAAAAATTTAAAAAAAAACAAAGAAGAAGAAAGGAGCTGCAGAATGGTTGGAGAAAGAAGAAATGAAACGCTGGCAGTAGTGCTCTGTGGTATGCGTCAGGGAGTAGAGGGAGAAATGCGGAAGTTTTAACGTGGGGTCAAAGCTTTTTCAATATTATGTTTGACCCCAGGTTGTTAAAAATTATTAATATACTTGAAATATTTTAAACTATTAATATACTTAAAATAAAAAAAGTCCCCTATGATATACCTAATACACAAAAAACCCTTCATAGTTTCAAAATATAAAAAACGACATCTCATGTTTTGAACTAAATTGCAAATTAACAGAATTCGTTAAACTTAACGAAAATGATGGTTTCGGCTGTTAAACTTACCGGATTCTGTAAGTTTATCGATTCCGTTAAATTTACCGTTAAGTTTACTGGATTCTGTTAAATTTAACAAATTCTGTTAGTTTGCAATTTAGTTCAAAACATGAGGTATGGTTTTGTATGTTTTAAAACCACAGGGGGCTTTTCTATATATTAGGTATACCACAGGGAGTTTTTTTGCTTTTAACCCTACTTTATAAATGTTGTTCTAAAGTTTGGTGTTATTTTTCAATCAAATTCATAATTTTAATTCTAAATTTATTAATAGTCATTGATAATCATGTAACCTATTCATATCATTTTCTAAAATGTAAAAATGTTATATCTTATTTGTAATTAAATAAATAACTTGATCTATATTCATTTTTGTCCCTAAAAAAGTAGGATATATCCCAAATCATATTCACTTTTTCTTCTAAAAAAGTGGGATTTGACCCAATTCAAGTTATTTTTTGCTACTAAGAAGGTGAGATTTGACATCTTTGTACATAAAAAATGGTTACATATGGGTTACGTGGTAATTTTAGATTAAAAAATAGTCGAAAACTTTAGATGGAATCAAATTTTGTTAACTTAAATTTGTAAGGAACATAAAATTAATATTTTAAAAGTGAATGACGAAAGAATTCATAGCAAAATGTACGAGACATTTTAAACAATTTCTGTCTAATTAATTTCCCCACTTCAATCCTGCTTCCATTTCCCTGGACAAAAGAATGGAATAATCGTTTGTCCTTCTGACATCCTTAAATTCTGCACTAACAAACGTCTGGCAAAGATAATTACCCTGTGACGTGTATCCCTTTCTAGTCCTCTTGTATTCTTATCACTCTCTTTTAAGTGGGTTATATAATAACTGTCGAGTCCATGCCCGGGCTCTGAGGACTCACTCTTCTTTCTGACTGCTATATTGTTTGATTGATGATGGAGAGCTCTGTAGTGGAAAAGTTGTTTTGGATGGAAGAAGTAATCAGCTATTTGTTCTTTCCTTTCATTTTAAATGTGTTACATTTTCATTGTTCCCCTTTTCCATCTTCTTGTTCTGCTTGCTTTCAATTCCACAGCTCTGCTGTTTCATTCATTGCTCTTGCCTTTTATTAGTAATAACTTAGCTTTTTTTTTGGTATGTTAATCAACAACTTCCTTGCTACTGGTAATCTTTGTTCGTGGCTTTTCCCTGCATTTTTAATTCCTGGTATGCTTTCTTTTTTCTTTCTTTAGATTCATTCAGTATTGTTTTCTGGCTCTGCTCCTCATTTGTTATTATCATATCCATTGTTTTTCATTTTCTCTTACTCTGCATTTAGTTTGTTATTATCGTTATCATGCCTTCTGTATGCTTGCTTCAAACATTTGTCGGAGATCCTTACTTTACCCTCATAATTTGAGCTTTCAAAGGGGAATTCCTCAGTATAGCTCCATATACTTTGGCTCTTCCTTTTTGTAATTTGTTTGCCATTTAGAGCTGAACAATCTTTCTATAGTTGTATAGCATGTGAGTGTATACTTGTCCTATTCTTGCCTTCCTTTCAAAAAATATAGCTATTATAGAGTTAGCTTACAGTGTTTGCTTATATTTTTGTTTTTCCACATGCTTCTGCTTGCAAGAAAGTACCGTCTGAAAGAAAAAACAGTTGAATGAATGTAATCTGGTTGTTATGGACTGACTGTTCCAGCATGGTTTAATCTTGTAATATGTCATTTGGCTATATAAATTTTGCTATTACAGTTGTTACTCCGGACTGATCCACCTCTGTCAACTTTTGTCAGGTAACTCTTATTAAGGCTACAGATCCTCTCCAAGGTATGTATGTGTTATCTCTTGTATATTATGCATCTATTAATGATTGGTAAGCTTTCATTTGTGTGCTTCTTGTGTTCATTTTGCCACCTTCATTTTCCTTTATCACTGTACTCTTTGATCATGACCTTTCATGTCCCTTATAAATATCATGACTGTTAATCCAAGCATATGCTACAGGTGCTTAAGATTTACTTAGTTAGATTTTTGTTTGTTTGGGTTAGATTAAATCATGCCTGATGGTGTTGCAGATAGATTACTTGTTCATTTGTTTTAAGTTATGAATCTCTAATTCTTTTCAGCTGCTTTTCTTATTTCTACTGAAATAAAATAGAGCTTAGCCTTTGTTGTTTGATTGCAGATTTGCATACTTGTGGGAATGTATTTTTGCTATTAGCTGTATCACTGGTCTTTTTAATCCAAAAAATATAGCTTCTCAATCTTTTCATTACTTTGAAATATCCCTTTAAGTTAGACGGTAGAAATGCTCACCGGGGTGTGCTATGCAGAAATGTCATCTCATGAGAAAAGTTATTGCACAGTTCAATGAGAGGCTTATGCAGAAAAAAGGAATACTTCTACTGCTGCTTCAACTGAAGAAAACAGTCAAAAGAGAACGAAAAACTTATACTACTAGGGCAGGCTTAGGTCATGTAGAAATTGTCCAGCTTCGACTTGCCCAAATTCTAGGCTCAGTAGTGATGATTTCAATACTGAATCTTTGGCCCTATTTTTAGCCACAGCGAGGTGAACCCTGGATCTACCTCAACTGCTCCTCGTAATTAGGTGGTTTAGATGATAAGTGGATGACCAACTGATTGAGAATGTATTCGCTAATTTGGATTCCTCAAAGTGTGCAAGACATACCTCCTCACCTCTGAATCAAGAAAATGCCTCTGCAAATGTAGGGACTTCTGAAGGTTCTGATTTTGGAGGTTACATGGTTCTTTTCCTTTTTAACCCCTGGTTGTTCACCATTCCTATGTCTCTTGAAATCCTCTGCGCCATGCATATTATCAGAAATCCTGGAGCTATTACAGCTATCTGTTTATCTTTGATCTTTTATCCTTCTTTCTTTGATAAAGATTCCCTTCTATCCAATGGTTCATTCTTTGTTTCTTTGATAAAGATTTCGGTAACTTTACTGTTTCTGTTTTCTTCAATTCTGCTCATTGTCTTTCTCTGCCAAACATCCTCTTTATCAACAACTAGCAACTAGGCCTCCCCAACCCACAATAGTAAACAGGCAGCCCCGTAGGTTAGGTTGCTATTTAAGTTTCCTTCCTACTGGTTATTTGGTTACTCTCAACCATGCTATGGTGCTAATGTTATTTATTCCTCTCAAAATATTTATGCCCTATATACTTGTCTCATAGCAAAGACAAGTAATGATAGCCAATCAAGATCATCTGCATTGTATTCATTGCCCAGAAAATCTATGATTTTGCCTGATGCTCCTGACTGCCAAAAGGTTCCATCTAGAACTAGCAAATTTTGCTGCTCTGGAGGAGAAGTTCCTCTTCCTTTGTTGCAATACCTTACGATTTATGTCGTTTGCTTACTGGAACTGACAAGGAGAGTGTTGAATTCCATAAAAACATTAGATCTTATAACAACAATTTAGTTCTCACTTTGGTTGGAACGAAGTATGACTCAGAACTTACTAAGAACACCAATGGTGTCTATGCCTTCCGCGTTCAGGGGCAGGTCTACCATTTCCTCAATAGCTTAATGGCATCGGATGGTAAGGCTTCTGGAGTTTAGCTATACATTTTTTATACAGAAAATGAGCTGTCAAAGAGGCTGAACATTTCAGAGATGTTTTGTGAAAGCACACTTAAGCTACTGATGTGCATCGTTTCCAACAATCCTTAGTAAAAGTTCTTTGAAGATCTCAAAATATATCTGATCTAAAGATCATAACATTGTCCTCAATTTTGATCCCAGTTTAGACCAACGTGTCTATAATCTTCCTACATCCTCACAAGTAGCAGCCATCTGAAGTGAAAATGAGGATAGAACTCTCAAAAAAGGTGCTCATATCCAGGCGTACAGCCATTCTAATACGAGTCATCGCATACACCACTATTAAGGTCTTCTCCAGTTCCATCATGGTGAAACTGGATGGAATCGTAACATCAAAAGAAAATGCTCAAGTAAATGGAAGACATCTGAATCTTGTGATGAGAATAACCAACTTGATCCCACCTCATCAAGTAGTATTCTGGATATGAGTAATTCTAAACGAAGAGGCAAGCCCTTTAGCTTTGTTTTAAACAACTCCATTTCAACTTGCTTATTATTTTTATTCTTCTCTAGAGTATTCTCAGGTTGTTTAAATGCATAAATTGCAGTTGCTGCCGCTGGGAAAACAGATGAAATAATGTCACTACTAGAGAATATTATTGTGAATTTCTGATGAGAGATGATGATAGATCTATGTTACTCCATACAGGCAGGCTCTTACAACAATTTGCCTTAGATATTTGCATAAAAATTGAAACATGTAGACTAGATGATTGTCAGAGGAGGCAGAATGAGGTGAGGATAGAAATATTGCAGAGAGTAATAGATAGCCTTTCAATAGGTGAGATAGATGGAAACAAAATCGGCCTAGAAATAGTCCTGCTAGCCTCTGTCATTGGTGGACCTAGAGATATGCGATGTAGGTATATTGATGCAATGGCCTTGGTACACAAATACGGTAAACCTGATTATTTTCTTACTATGACTTGGAATACAATGTAGCCTAATTATTTTCTTTCTGCAATGTAGGTATATTGATGTTGATATAACATCTTCAAAGTTCTCCTATACCATGTTTAAAGAATTAGCCCAATTCATGGAGCTGAAAGAGCAAGCTGTTGGTTAGTGAAAATTACGACTCATATATGTTATTGTCATCTATTCTCGCTCGATTATCTATTAATCATTGCTACTTATTTTACATGTTAGACATCCTGGCAGTTGTTATCTCTGTGTTACCAATAAATACTTTCACAAATGAATTTGGACCTGGCAAAGTGCAGGATTTTGTGATCATCAATGAAGAGTTAGTAAACATTTTTCTCAACTTATACCACTCTTGTTACTATATCTCCTTTTGGCTGTAACTTACTATATTTTCTAAGTAAACAAATGCAGAAGTATACCTCTCCAACTATCAATGTTCAATAAGTTTATAGATATTGAAGGCCACCACATAGCAGAAACCATAAACAACTTCCCGGTTATCATTTGCAGAAGGCTGAAGGTTAAGTTTTTCAATGGTAATTATGCCAATTAAATTGCTATACCACTTGCAATACTGTGTTACCTTACAATTGTGTCTCTGTATATTGGTACAAGTAACTAACATTATTACTTTTTACTACTTTTTGCAAGGGGTTACCCTGTCTACTAGGCTGGATTCAACTATTCTGGTCGATCCTCCTGCTCATGAAGCTAGGCAACTTAAGATCTGGTACCAGCAAATGTTAATTCTTGTACACATTCAATTCACACTAAAATACTTTTATGTGCTTATATCTCTCATAATAAAAAATGACATCAGGGCTGGACAGAATGCAGTGCTTTTTGCTCAGATCATTAAAGAAAAACCTTATACTCGATACAACCCAGATCTCTTTCTACAATCTCCTCAGAAGTTTACTCTCATTTTTTATTTGCAACCAACTCAGAAGGTAATAATAGAGAAGGTTGCACGAAAAATAGATGCCATTGTTATCATTTGACTGAACTTTTGGTGCATTCGGTGTTAGTTTGCTTGGGTCAAGGCTTCCATATCATTCCAAAACATTTTCCAGCGTTACTGGTATATGGCATGTAAGAAATGCTACAAAGCAACTGATGCTTCTCATGGACATCCATACTTATGTAACAAATGTTCTGAATACCAGGAAGCTGTACCAAGGTCTATCGCCATACTTTTTGTCAATCTATGTCTGTCTAGATTATTTTTCTAATATCATATTAGTTACTGAGATTTTGGGATTCTTTCACAGATGCCGTTTTGATGTTAATCTTGCTGATAACACTGGAAATGTAACAGCTACTTTATTTGGTGAATTAGCTGAGAAGCTTTTGACTTACTCTGCTCTGGATGCCATGCAGTACTTTATTAGAGTAATCTTCCTTTCACAGGCAATTTGCTCATTCAATTTCTTTTTCAAATTTCTAATGCTGTTAACAATATATGTGTTGTTGTGTCCCTTTACTAGAATGTTGAGCTTCCATTGGAACATGTCCACGAAGCTCTGAAAACTAAACTGTTAGAGGTCCAGATACAGCCAGCTCAGAGCCGCTATGGATATCTCCAGCAACGCTACACTGTTGTGCATTTTTATGAAGAAAATCAGGGTGAAGGTACATCAGAACTCGCTCGAGACTCCTGGTTCTTTCTTACTGGACTCTCCAATGCAACCTACTCCCCTTGAATCACAGGATAATATTCTCACAAATATTGACAATATTGGACCACTTACTAACAATGCTATACGATTTACTCAGTCTAAGGTCCAAATTAAATGACTAACCTATTTGCCTCAAACATCTTTGTTTACTAGAGAATAAGAGCCCTTCGACAAGCATCTGCATCAATATGGCAAGCAATTTCGATGAAACAGACAATCTCGGAGTAACCAGCCCACTAGCCAGCTTCGAAACTGCTCAGATTAGCACTACCAAGAAGACAAAATTAGCATTATGTTGAACATATTTCATAATGATCTAGTACTGGATTAAAATAGCTATTGTCTGAATGTTCAGATCTAACTATGAAGTTTTTGTGATTTAGACAACATCACCACGTCTACTACCTCTTCTAGCCTTATGCTTTTGGTTATGTATCTATTAAATGCTGGTGATGCCAAACCATTGGATGAACATGTTTTTGTTTTACAATGGACTGCTCTTCGAAAAGTATCTTACACTATTTCTACCTAAGTGGATTATTCATGCTATGGCAGCAATGTATTATCCTAGTGCAGCTGATTTCTTTTCGCTGTTCTGTAGGTATCTATTGCTTTTTCAAATTGTTGAGATATGCCAATTTTTCCTACAAATTTTTTAGATTGTGTTTGATATTATAATAATTTAGTTAATAGAAGAATAAGTCTTGTTATAATATTTGCTAACCAAAGATTATATTGGTTTGTTAACAAATATTTTAGCTAAGATGTGCTAGTAGAACATTATGTTGTCAAGTAGTTTTGTTGAGATTTTTTAGGATAATTATTAGTTAGAAATTATCATAGTTTGTTTCATGTAATTATTATAAATAGTGAGTTGATAAATAAATAACATAAATTCATTTCCAGTTTCATACAAGTCTTTTACAAGTTAATTTTTTGCAATACTAAGGTGTTATTTTTTAGTTTATACTCTAAAAAACCAACAATGTGGTACCAAGAGCCTATGTCTTAAGGCTTGTGTTGTTTTTTGAGAGAGAGTGCATTCGGTGAGAATCCTTTATAAGTTCAAAATCATGACATGAAAGAACTTTTTGTCAAATGTTTCAATATTTAGTGGTGAAACTTACCAAATTTGGATTATTAAATTTTATAATATATACACATATATATTAGTTATGTCCATACATATTACCAAGTACTAATTAGTAAATAGTAACTAATAATTACTTAACCAGTAATTAATGTCTACATATTACTACTAACAAATTTATTGACTAGTTTAACCATTGACTATTTAACTACTCTGTGTACTAACTATTTGACATTTTAGTATTGGTTTACAGCATCACAGAATTGGTTGGAGTTTGGACAGGGGAAATGACAAGATGCAATAGTGATTTGTTATTTTTTGTTTACTTAATGTCATGATGAGTTGATGACTGATCATGTGCTGGTGTTTTTTTTTATTTTATTATTATTATTATTATATTTAAAAGCTGAAAAATATACAATATTATTTTGGTGAAATAATATTTTTTTTATAGAAAATTGAAATATTTTAGCTTACCATCGACATTTCGAATTTCGGATGTTACCGAACTACCAATTCTCCGACCAAAATCTAATTTACTAAACTAAAGTTTGAATGGTAATTGGATATTTATCTTGACAAATCGGTTATCAAATCCCAGAAATTTTTTTTATTGAATTCCCAATTAACAGCTGATGAACATCCCTACTAAGAAGGGACTTCGATCCCCCTTTAGTTGTAGGTCGAGGGATCAAATCTCTTTCGCTAGAAGGTGCACTAGGCACCCGTCTGATCCGGTGACGGTTCAATCCCCTCAAAGTCTTTATTAACCCCTTTGGGTTTGCCCTTTTCCTTTAGTGTAAAATCAGAGTAGAAGTAAGGGTAGAATAGAAATTATCACGTTGGAAAGAAAAAATAGGAGTAGAATAGAAATGATCGTGTTTTTGGGGGGGGGGAATGGTTGTCTCATATGAGAAGAGGGAGAATGATCTCCAAGAGCATCTTGAGGGTTGTAAAGCCATGGCACACAAGGATGATGGATTAGTCTACAACAACACTACTGAGTAGAAAACATGCACGGACTTATGGAGACTCCGTCCGTGCATTTTCAGCTTTTGGTGATGTTGTTACATTTGACACCACTTAAAGTTCAATTACTTACAATCTACCACCTGGGGCTTGGTTTGGCATAAGCAATCATGGGAGAGCAATTTTGCTTGGTTGTGCTCTCTGACAAGATGAAACATTGCAGTCGTTCTCATAGGCCTTACAGGTTCGTAGTAAAGCCGTGATCTTTCACATTCTACTTCTTACCTCCCACTTACTGCTGCTGTCATCTCTTTCTCGTATAGGTATTTAGTCATGCAACCTATTTCTAACCAAGTCTCGAACCAGAAAATGCATGGCAAATTTTTCTAAAAAATGTCCCACCTCCCATTTCCCGTCCTCTCAAAAGTGGTGGTGGGATAGCTTTTTTTTTTTTTTTTTTTGGGAAGAAAGTATTCCCTTAAAAGCATGGGATAGTTTTGACTGAATTCAGTTTTAACCAGCATGTGACTGTACTTAGTATTCTCTTAACCACCTCCCATTTTTTTTGGTAATTCAGCTTTCTCCCATTTATTCCCTTAAAAGTGAATTCAGAGATAAAACTGCATATGACTTTTCTTTTCTCCCTCCAATATCAAGTAACCTAGATTCTATCTAGTGTCCTAAGTTAAAGGCCTCAAAAACAGAAAATACATGTTCAGCAACACATCTCGTGCAGAAAGAAACTATCAACAGGTTTCTGCTGCTTCCCTTCACAACGCATCTAGGTGCCATTCTTGTGGAAAAGGTCATTAAGCTTTAACAATGTCTTTCGACTTTGCTTGCAAGGATTCTGTCAGTCTTTAAAGAGACTGAAGGGATTAACACATAGAGCATATAGCACATAGACATAACATCTAAATATAAAATCCTAGGAAAGCGAAAAAATACATAAACACATAAGTATGCTAGCAAATAAGATCTAACTATTACATTGGAGTCCTAACTATAATCTAAAAGGGGAATTGTGAAAATAATAAACATATCTGTTACATTTATCTAACTAATTATATTTTTGGCAAAAAAAAAATCTATCTATTACATGGTTTAACTACACACATTTCTTGGGTACTTATCTATTACAATTAACATTTTAATGCTTCCCAAATAATCATCAAAATTAAATAAAATGAATGGAAACTTAAAATGGATAAAATGAGTAAATAAAAAAAACATTCAAAACATGCAATCACACAGAAGAAACACATAGGAGCACATAAAAGAACTAAAATAATAATAGAAGGTACCTTTCTTGAAATAGTGGTTAAATGAGGTTGAATTTGCCCTATTTATACTCCAAAATCAACAAAATAGTCAAGGTACCAATTTAATTAATAATTTAAAAGAAAAATATAAACACATAGCAAATCCACTTTATTTACTTCAAAGAAATATGAATAAATATAAACACCCTTTACTAATTAAATGCATTCAAATGAAGCATGGCTAACAATTAAAGAAGGTAAACAATTATACTTAAGAAATCAAAACCATTAGAGACTCAATTGCAAATATTGAAAAGTTTTTGGGTTAAATTATATTTTTACGAAGATTAGAGGTCAAAATCAAAGAAAAATAAAGTCTGAGACCAAATGCAATTAAATTAAGGACGTAATTGAAAGAATTCAAAATTTTAGGCCATAAAGAGATTACTCAAAAGATCAGGGGACTGATTATAAAATTTCGCTTTTGATTTCTTAAGAAAACATTATTGGGCCATTTTTGTTTTATTTTTAGGACAGAAATCTCTTCGGCCCAAGCCAGAAAAATCGATCAGCCCATCATATTTAAAACCAATCCAACAAAAAAAAAGTTAGGCCTAAGCATCATAACTCACATGCAAACCCAGCCAAAAATAAAGTCTTTGACCCGGTTTTCAAACCCAAAAACATACCCAATTTTACATCTTAATGGATGAAACATAATAGGACAAAACAAAAATAATTGGAGCAAAAAAAGAAGAAAAAATATAAAGAATTTTCCAAAGGGTATGAAGTCTTCGGTGAATCAACCTGCTGGAAATTGAAAAAATTTTGGTCAAAGTTACTGGAATCTCGCCGGAAGTCCTTTTTTTTTTAACTTTTGAGACCGAATCTTTTCATATGCATGCTTCCCATGATTTCATGAATTGATTTAAACATCAAATCGACCATCAAATACTATAAATTATGAAAAAATGAGATCTAAGGCACAAAACTTATAAAAGCTAATGTAATGGCTTAAAATCTCATGGAAAACTTTAAATCAATTGAGAGAAAGGGTTATAATTACTTAAAGATGTTTGCAAACTCGAACCAATATGGAGAAACATAAAAAAAAAAATGCTCCCAAATGGGAAATCGAATCAAGCAAGCTCTTGCTGCAGTGGTCCAAGTACTGATGATGCCATAATTTCAAGCTCCAATTTGAGAGGCTTGGAGATGTTGTTTCAGGAAATGTTCAGCACATAATTTTCTCTCCTACAAGCATAGATGGTTCAGCAACAAATATTTAGCCAAACAGAGGTAGGATGAATTCAGCAAATGCAGATGAACAGGGCTGTTCAGTCAGCCTTGGCTCAATTTTAGCAGAAAAAAGTTTCGAGGAGCGATGTTTGGGCTGCGATTTGAGGGTCTATACTGATTATCTGGGAAAAGTTTCAATATAAAAGTTCTTTCTCTATATCTCTAGAAGGCGTAGAAAAAAATTACTCCAAAAGGATCTAAAACGAAAGAGAAAATCACGCTGGAACAGAGCTGATTTCCCAGTTTTTTCTCAGAATTTTCTGCATAAAATGTTCTTCCTTTTTTTTTTTTTTCTTTCTCTTTTCCTGCTAATTTACTTTCTTTGCTATTTAAATGAGACCAAAAAACCTCAAACCAAAAATGAATGGTTGGGATAAAAAAAGGAAGAAGAAATGAGTTCATGTGGCATGTTTTGAGCAATTTTGATGATTTTTGACCGCTCTCTCTTGCTAGATTTTTTATGATTAGGTGTCCAAGTGATTGCTAAACTTGAAGGGAAAGAGATAAGAAGCAAAAACGAATTTTTTGTTGTCTCAAAAACCAACTTTTGTACTATCTTCGTTGCTGCAATTGCAGCATTTTTTTTTTTTTTTTTTGAGAAAAACATAGGAATGGGTTGATGGGCCTTTTTCTTTCTTTCTTTTTCCAGATTTATATTGGGCTTGACTTGGCTTCTGGGAGGTTTTTCACTTGGGCTTTGGGTAAAGGTTTTTTTTTTGTTTTTGGGGAAATTTTGTTGGGTTAAAGACAAAGGAAATTTCTACTATTATATTCTTTTTTCTAATTTTGAAAATTCCATTTTTTTCTTTTCTCTTTCCCTACAAAAATAAAATAAAATGAATATTTAAACAATGATATAAATAAAGACATGATAAAAATTAACAAATTTTTTGAAAAAAATTTGGTGTCTACATGGGTGTAAGTCCAGGATTCAAATCTCTCAACTTGCATTTTCTTATCCAAACTTCCTAAAAATTTCACCGGAGGGTGCACAAGGCATCCATTTGTCCAATGGTGGTTTAATCCCTTTGGGTCTACCATTTCCCTTTAGTATAGAGTATGAATAAGAATAGAACAGAAATTATCATGTTAGGGGGAAAAAAAGGCTGTCTGAGATGAGAAGAGGGAGAATGATCTCCAAGAGCTTCTTGAAGCTTGTAAAGCCATGGCACAGAAGGATGATGGATTTGTCTACTACTATACTACTGAGGAAGATGGAAAAGCAGAAAACGCTTGGCTTATGGAGACTCCGTCCGTGCATTTTCAGCTTTTGGTGATGCTGTTGCATTTGACACCACTTATAGTTCAATTACTTGCAATCTGCTACTTGGGGTTTGGTTTGGCAAAAGCAATCATGGAGAGCAATTTTGCTTGGCTGTGCTCTCTTACAAGATGAAACATTGCAGTCGTTCTCATAGGCCTTACAGGTTCGTAGTAAAGCCGTGATCTTTCACATTCTACTTCTTATCTCCCACTTATTGCTACTTTCATCTCTTTCTCGTACAGGTATTTAGTCATGCAACCTATTTCTAACCAAGTCTCAAACCAGAAAATGCATGGCAAATTTTTCTAAAAAATGTCCCACCTCCCATTTCCCGTCCTCTCAAAAGTGGTGGTGGGATAGCTTTTTTTTTTGGGAAGAAAGTATTCCCTTAAAAGCATGGAATGGTTTTGACTGAATTCAGTTTTAACTCGCACATATTGTAACTGTCGTCTCTTTCTCATACAGGTATTTGGTCATGCGATCAGAAAATGGATTTTTTTTTTCAATGCGAGGACCCATTTTAATCATTCTCCCTCGTAATAAACTTTACCACTCGGAGCAAAGTGTATTGCATATAGCCTCAAATTCTTTTCCACAGGTTGAGCATAAAGTAACTCTTCTCAATACCATCACCTTGTGTGACTTCAACGCTCTGCACTTCCGTCTCTGTCTCTCTCTCTCTCTCTCTCTCTCTCTCTCTCTCTCAATTTTTGTAAATTCCTCTTTTGACATACATACAAGTACAAATCTTTTAGCAACAATTTTTCAGGTCAGGTTTACTTTTGCTTTCTTGGCAAACTCCATCTCAGCCTTGTAAAATTTCAAAAAACCCCGCCCCAAGTCCTCTGTTTTCTTTTTCGGTAATTTCTGCTTGGATTGGTTTGTTATTTTGGCTTTATTTTTGGTTTTCCGTAAAAAAAAAAAAAGAAAAAAAAACACTAAAGCATCTCAGGAAATGAAAGAGGCAGAAAACCCCAAAAAAAGAGTGTGGCGTTGGTTTCGGTGGAGAAAGATCTCAGGAGTAGGTACCAATGAAGGCAAAAAACTTTTGGGGAGGAAAGAGAGAGGAAGTAATGAAGGGATGCAGATAATATGGTGATGCTGAATAGGGTAGGAAGGAAGCGGTGATTCTGGGGAAGTAGTACTTAAGGAAGAAGAGATGCTGATGATTGGGTTATCACGGAGAGTAGGAAGCAAATTTGGGATTGAGCGGGGGAGTAGAAAGTCTGAATGTGGGATCACTCGGTTTACATGTGGGACCGTAGACCACGTCTATGCAAGTTTTTGCCATGTTGAAAAAGGGCAAAATCGAAAATCCAAAATTGTACCTGGCCCCAATTGATAGAAAACGCAACCAAAAATAAAATAAAATAATACGAAATAAAGTACCGTAACTGCATATTAAATCTATGGACACCAGAAAAGAGTGGCAGTGTGTGCGCTGATGTGTGAAATTCTGTGGAAAACAGGGGAAGACTTAATAAAACCAAAAATTAAGGGTCATAAATGAATAGCTGGATTTCCTGCTTCTACTTTAGACTGCATATATTTAGACGCTGAACGAACGAGAGTTGACGTTTTCAGAAAACAAATGAGTTGACTAATTACACTCTATCACCCGACTCGAAGCCCTCTAAACATGCCCAAATTGCCCATTTTGACACCCACAAGTTGTAACATACACATGTTACGCAAGTAAAAAGACTTCCCATCTTGCATGATACAAAATGTTGCAGACTTGCCAGGAATTTCGATAGAACCTAACATTAGAAATAAGGGTAAAAAATGGTGTTAGCTACAGCAGGGGCACCACTCGAAGAGGTACACCAACTTATCTAAATAAGTTGTACATGAGGCCACAGATTCCCACCTGAGGAACCATGGTGGCAAGCAGTTCAGAGATCAAACTGCATATCACTCAAAGCATTCTTTTCCCCTCCAATATCAGGTAACCTAGATTATATATAATGTCCTGAGTTAAAGGCCTCAAAAACAAGAAAATGAATGTTCAGCGCCACAACATGTCTCGTGCAAAAAGAAACTATCAACAGGTTTCTGCTACTTCCCTCACAACGCATCTAGGTGCCATTCTTGTGGAAAAGGTCAATAAGCTTTAACAATGTCTTTCGACTTTGCTTGCAAGGATTCTGTCAGTCTTCAAAGAGACTGAAGGGATTAACAGGTTCTGATTTTTTGGCAGTCAAATAGACCGAAAGAAACAAAACTATGGTCAGTGGGACACCATAGGTTGAGTCGGCTCCTGCTTCCTGAGGGCTTTCCCAATTTTCAAAAGCATACCTTACTGAATTTGTAGCCCGGACTATGGATAAAATGATAAATTGCTTAAGGCACTGCAATGCATGTACAAGATGGGTACGAGTTGAAGCTCTAAACTAGAGAGAATATGAACAGCAACACAATTAGCACATCAATGAAAAATCTTGATCAATCGAACATCTGGCCCTAACTAGCTGGTCAGAAGATTTTTACATGGATACCAAAAACAAATCCTTAATCACCAAATGACAGGGTTCATATGCACTACAGCCTTGGCGATATTGATTTTTATCAGTCTGAACTTACCAGATCACCTGCAAGGTAGATAAGCAAATCCAACTTGGTGGTGACTCCTAATAGCCTTGCCAAGTTCTTCACATGTTTTCATCCCGGTGCACACAGCTAGAACAGTCTTCCGCTCATTCTAGTCCAATTGATAAGAAAATAACTAATGAGAAAGTTAATTAGTTAAACACAGACCCAAAAAGGCAAAATACAATAGCAGACAACAAACTAGGAAAGTTATAAGTTCCGCATTCTGTGCATCAAAAGCTGTCATGATGTAGATGGTAAGATGAGCAAATAAAGGGGAAACTTAACTACAATTCGTTCACACCCTATATTGACCGAAACATATGCTGAAAATAGATCAGCAGTTGCACTAAAATCAAGAAATCAATTGAGCAATGCCTCCAAAAAAGATTGACACATAGTTTGCCACACGATAAATAAGAAACTAAATGAGGCTATTATGCTATTGAAATCTGTCAAACGTTTTTCAGAATTCACTTAATAAATGGGAGAAAACTACAAAGATGTCATACAAGGAAAAATCTCTAAGCTTATTAATAAGATATCTAAGTGGTGCCAAAAGTCCAACAGTAAAGTTCAGTGTAAGTCAAGTACAATGCACAACAGTTCTGTAGTAGCAATATAAGGCTAGACAGCATGACTTAAAAAACAATTCTAGTGTAATTGCAGATCGAAACCAGATTTTTTTTTTTTTGGGACATCAAAAACCTCTGCAATATGAAGCTAAAACTCCAACATTGTTAATATAACTTGCTTCATTGTTTGCAGATTGGTTAACAACAGTAACAACAGTCTAATGTCATCTGAGAAAGGTTCAGGCAAAATTTGAACAGTGATTAAGAGAGTCAACAGAATTTTAAGCGGGACAGTGCTGTTTTGGGGTGGGGGCATTTGTTAGACTTGAGCCACATCAGGGGGAGTGTGAAGAAAACAGTGGAATACCTGGATTCAATTGTTACATTTCTGCTTTCAGTGTATAAAAGGCTCATGCCTTTCACGTTCTCTTTCAGCTTTTTGGATAACCTTAAGACTGCTATTGCTGGCATGTACTTGAAGGAGACATTCGATACCAGAGAGTTTCTAGCAATAGGCAGGAGAAAACATGGGCATAATTCTCTACACAAATTTGCATGAGATTTGGAGGAGGAAGTTCAGATGAAATAATTGCGGAGTTTAGAAAAATTGTGGAGAATGGAACGTTTGGAGATTAAGAGGATAGGTTTGAAACTCCATTCCTTCCTACTCCCATGCATGAATCCTACTATGGATCTCTGTTTATGAGCGGTTTAAAACAAGAGATTACACCAATGGTTAAACTGGTTAAAATCTACCACTTTGCGAGATACCAAGAAAGCTGTTTGAAACTGAATAGATCACTGAACTCTTGGTTCCTTCCCTAAGACTTTCACACTCCTCTTAAAAATGAACATCAACTAATTCTCATAAACGTCAACTAAAAAAGCCTGAACCCGGTCAAAACTCACCAGTCTCTCTTCTGAGCCCCAAAGAAAACCAGAGCAGAAACACAACCAAACTTCCAATAATTTCAGAAAAAAAATTACCCTACGAATTTCCAGGATAAAAGAGAGAAGGGACTCTCTGTCTCAAATGTGATGAACCCTACACTTTCAGGTATGTCTGTAAGAATGCCAACCTGAAATTCATATTGTCAGGAGGGGAGGATTTTGCGATTGCAGAAGAAGGAGAAGAGGGAAGTGATGGATACTGTGACTGTGGAGGGGAGTGATCAGGATACTCTGATGGAACATTCAGTTCATCCTCTAGCTGGGGTTGCTAAGCATAAGACGATTAGAGTTAACAGGAACATTCAAGTGAAGCCGTTGTCCATCTTAATAGACAATGAGAATAGTCATAGCTTAGTGGATGATGGTATAGTCAGGGAGATCAAATGGGAGGTGAGGAGGAGTACCAGCCCACTGCCTGTTACAAATGCAAATGGAGGGAAACTACTCTCTAGTAGAGTATGCAGCCTTTTAAATTTTAAAAATGTGTGATTATGAGTTTCAGCATGTGGTCATAACCTCGAAGTTAAGGAAGTGATATGTGTTTGGAGTGGACTGATTGCCTAAGTACAGCTCCAATGCAGATAGGCTAGCAGAAATGAAATTGGAGGAGGGTATGTTGACAAAATGAAGAGATTTTCCTGAAAAATGACAGCCAACCAAATGGTGTCGTTGTAGGGTGGGGTGGCGTTGTTAGACTCGAGCCACATCATGGACTCGTGTGAAAAGGACGGTGGACTACTTGGACCAGCGAGTTACACTACTGCTTTCAGTGTTCGATAAATTGCCTCAAAAAAATTTCTTTCTAGTACCAGATTTTTCGTCTCACGAAAAGCACTCCGCTAAAGATTGTCAGCTGAATCAAGCACTAATGCACAAAACTCCTACAGTCCACCGTATACGCACCACACATCATTAGCTAAAAGCAATTAAGCAAACACAAAAGAATTGAAACCAAACCCAGTTTGTATCAATCAAATAGATGAAATGGCACGGCATAATTTGACCGACACACAAGCACGAGACAGGATTCCAGAAAGGAGAAAGTTCAATTACCACAAGTGAGATTAATTGGCTTGCCATCTTCTCACACTCCCAAAGAATCCTTCTTGATTCCTCTGCGCTTCGCTTCTTCTCTGGATACAGTTAATTTCACCAACTCATTGTTTCTCCCATTTCGAAGACGAAGGCTCTGTTGTCCTTGAGTTCAGAGACTGGTAGCGGGATCCCTTTCACATCTTCACTTTCAAGGGAAACCGTCCACTCCGGGTACTTTCGCACCACCTTCTGTATATGCTCCCAATGCTTGACAAATTCTGACGCACTGAAGGCGTAATGGTCCCCTGACTTAATTGTTTTTTCGTCGACGGCCTTCCGTACCCATTGCTTCAATTTCTCCTCATACCCCAGCCTCCACTCTGTGAAATTGAATCCTTACCAGAACGGTTGATAACAAGACAAAGAGCCTTGCCCATTCGACAACCAGAAATGCAGGTCGACTTGTAGCGATTTGTGATGAAGAAAGTAGAGGAATAGGATTTAGAGGAAGTCAGTTAGCCGGAGGGCGGCGGCGTTTCCTTAGATGCACTAGACTGATATGATGAAGAAAGTAGGGAGCAGGATTTGAGAGGAAATTGGCTAGGGTATTTTCGTCTTAAACCATCAGAAAAGTTACTTTTTAATAAGTTGGAAGCGGGTGAAGTGCAGCGCGAAATTATATGCGGCCGTTTTCAGTTTGCGTCCTCGTGTGACCAAAGTCAATTTGGCAGACACTTCAGGGTTTCCCGTTAGCAAGTATGGTTACATCTAGGGAATAATTTCAGAAACCTCCCTTGAGGTTTCATGAAATATCATCCAGCTCCCTTAAACTTTTAAAATCTCACTTAGCACCTTAAAGTGATAATAGGGCCATATACTAATATCAAAGGTGATGAATTGTCAATAATACCTTCATATTTAAATTTTCTGAACTTGTTTTTCTTTCTCCAAATTTCCTACTTTTCTTTAACATTGTTTATACAAACATACATACATACATACATATATATATATATATAATTGAATTGCAAATGTCAATGAAATATAGAATTTAATCAATGAAATATTCAATGCATTTGGAGAAGAATAGTTGCAGGTTCTTTTTTTTTTTCCTTTTTTGGTGTTTCACAACTTTATTTATTTATTTATTCCTATTCATGTAGAGCGCAAGAGAAATAAAGTAATTGAAACTCCAAATAGTTTTTCAAATTCTGACTTTTTCTATAATAAAATTTTCATATTTCACACCCATAAAAAAAGTCTGTCTATTTTGAGTAAATTTTTTGTATGATATTGAAATTGAATTTCATCTATTACTAAGTTTTTTTTTACTCAATGTATAATTTTACATTTTAATTACCTTCAATGCTACGAAGGGTTCTATTTGTAGAAATGATTTAAAAAATAGTATTTGCTTTTACTATCTCTTCCTACTGTAGAAGTGACTATTGGCTGTAACATAAAATCTTACCAATTTTTATCTCCTCACTTTTAAGATGGTTCCAATTTAGTACTTTTTTTCCTTGATTTGTAAAATGTTTATTTTTTTATAGTCTAAGGGTATTAAAGGCACTAAAATAATCCCTCTCCTCAAACATGAACTTTTTAATATTACTTTTGGTTAGAAGGGCTTCCAATATTACCAAAATGTCAATTCAAGGGGTTCTAAGTGAGATTTTGAAAACCTCAAGGGAGCTAGATGATATTTCATAAAACCTCAGGGGAGGTTTATGAAATTATCCATTACATCTATGCAGGAAAGTCATTAGTGGGACTTAAGTCCCTCTTTGGACTGTAGGTGAGGGTTCAAATCTCACTTGCAGCGAAAAAAATCTAAGAGTTATGCCATAATATTCCCTTAATGTAGTTGGGTCTGTATACTCACTAATCCCCTACCACAGCCTCCTTAGGCTCCCCCTCCCCCTCCCCCCTAAATTAGGATAGAATAGATTATACAAATGTATCGTTGCTAAAAAAAAAAAAAAAAAAAGTCCACTTTTCTGCCTAGAGTGGGCAAAAGCAATGCAAGGTAGATGGGATTCTCCGTTTAATATATCTGTTCAATTTTTTTATTTAATACAAAATTATGTAGTTTTATTTATTAATTTTATTGATATGACAAATGGGTTTTAAATTATAAAAGGAAAAAGAAAGGGACAAAAATGTACCATAAAAATATAGGGCAATAACATAAATACAATATAAGGCAAAAAGGTAAAAGGTACGGATGATATATATAGCATTGCATGTACAAAAAACAAAAGCAAGTCAGAGTCAAATGGCGAAGATTCAAGTTCAAACGAAAGGAGCCGTCTTTCATCATTCAATTCAAAGAAGCATAAAAACGAAAAACTGACCTACCTCTGTGGTCGACAGAGGAGAACAATGGGTCAATAAAAAAAGGGCCAAAGAAGAAGTGAATTACAAAGCAGCCAAACGACTTGTAACATTGATCTTGAATCAAGGCAAAAATGAATGGCATAAGCGGAAAATAGGAAAACAACTAAGGCTAAAGCAATACCTCCAAAGAATTAACTCACCTATCTCCGTGGCCCACACAAAGACAGTAATGCGTCAAACAAAGTATGGACAAAAACAAATAAATTACAAAGCAACAAAGAACTATAACGTGTATCTTATCCCGGAATTCCAGGGTGGACAATCAAGTCAACGCCTTATATTAAGGCGTCTTTTGTAGTTGATCCTATGATTGGCAACCGGCTATGTCAGTCTGAAAAGGGCTGGCTGGACTGCGTGCGGTGCCGTCAAATCTTGGTGTTTTTGTGGTCCACAATACTCCGCATAAATACGCGCCAGTGGGCGAAATGGCAGCACCAGGGAGCATAAATAAATCCAAGATTTCAGAAAATTTTTCATAGTTTCTCAAAATATTAAAAATTAGTTGCTTATGTCCTCGTAAAATGAAACCTTGCCACCAGGATTTTTAGAATTGTTTTATATCCTCTTGAAATGTTCCTTATGAATATTAGACTTTATCTATGCAATATTTTTATAAAAATATAAGGATGCCTCTTCATGGCTTTTTTACTAATTTTGCCCCACAAGCATGCATAAACCTTTTCTGCTATCAACTATATATACAGATACAAAAATTTAAGTATTCATTATTAAAATTGTTAAACATCAAATAAGTATGATATTTAGTGGTCGATTATTTATATCGCTTTTGAAAAAGTAGGATAACTAAATATTGCAAGTAGAAAAAATGTTTTGAATTATATATTTAATTATGGAACGCTTGTTATAAATTAATAAACAAGTGAAGAAAATTATGATAATAGAATTGTAATTAATATTTATGGAAATTTGTACTCATGCTTAATTGTTACTTATTGCCAAAAGTAATGCATCAACATATAGAAACATATTACTGTATGTTATTACATTTAAATGTGCAATTATATCAAATCAAGTTCAAACGGTACACTACTAAAAAACTTGAAGTTGAACCGTAACTTGTTAAGCTGTTGAAAGTTGAGTTTGAATTTGAATCGAATTTATTTTATCTTACTTGAGTTCAATTAGATCGAGCACAATCAAGCTCAATTAATTGAGCTTAGTCAACCCAATAAAGTTTCATTAAACTCAATTCAGTTCAATTGAGTTTAGTCGAGCCCAATCAAGTTTAAGTAATACAAACTAATGTTTTATACATTTTTAAACAAAGGACATGATAGATATTTTATACTAATAAATATAAAATTATATATAAATATTGAAGTGTAATTGAGCTAGTTTATACTCGATAAATTTTCGAGACTCACATATTAGGTTTAAACTTGAGCTCTTCAAGTTAGTTGATCTATTTGAACTCAATCAGCGGGTACTTAAGCTTGCAAGTAATTCTATTGAGTTCGACTTATTTACACCTTTAATTACACCTAAAATGCCCATCATATTTTTTTTCAAAATTTTATGTTATAACCTATTTTTTTTGTTTTTATAATAGTTAAATATCATGGGCAGTTAAAGAAACAATTCTAGTAAAAATACGTAGTGTGAAGTTTCATTTGGTTTGCCTCGCATTACATGTTGTAGAAATACAATTATATTTGGTATGAAAAATGAATAATCAATGATTTAATAATAGGCTTGTTAGAATAAAATTTTAAGTTTAAATAAAAGTAGGCATTTTAATGAATCAAATCTTATCTAAATCCAATTCAAACCCAACATGCTTGGTTAAAATTTCAATCCTTCTAGTTGTGCATACGAACAAGGTTGTCATTTCAATCCTTCTAGTTGTGCCGTTAGAATACTCTTTGTCTAGCTATCATTTCAATCCTGTGTCTATTATAAATATCTTGATGTCAGCATCAACATGTGTCCCTCTCAAGTTTATTCTCCATTTATGTGGAGTTGACTGAAGACTCCATAGAAGTCAGATCCGCATCCTATCTTGTCTTGTCTTCAATAAAGGGCAAAAACGAATTGCACAAGCGGAAAGTAGCCAACAACTAAGGCTAAAGCAACTGAGTTTGTTTGGATAAGAGTTTATTTGGATGATTTATTTGAAATATTTACTGTAGCACTTTTATGATGTGATGTATGTGAGATAAAAAAATGATTGAGAAGATAAAAAGGTGATTGAGATTTGTGAAAACAAATTTTGCAAATCAAATTATCTTTGTCCAAACAAATTCAGTGTCTCCAAATCTATGGCACCGAGCAAATGGACCATAATGGACAAACAAATCAACAGATGGCCAAATAACCAATTGAGACACTCATTTACTGTTCATTCAGGTAACTCCCACTTTTATATAGTGTAGATAGCTTTCTTTTCGTAAGTTAATCAACGACTTCCTTGCTATTGGTAGTGGCTTTTCCCTGCATTTTAGTTCCTGGCATGCTTTCCCTTTTCTTTCTTTAGTTTCATTGAATATGGTTTTCTGGTTCTGCTCCCTCATTTGTTATTATCATATGCATTGTTTTTCATCTTCTCTTACTCCGCATTCAGTAAGTTATTATCGTTATTATGCCTTCTACATTCAGTAAGTTATTATTTACCCTCATGATTTGAGCTTTCAGAGGGAATTCCACAGTATAGCTCCA